CAGCTGAGCTCTGAGCTCTGCTTTGTCTAGAAGGTGGCTCAGCTGGCATGAGTGTGTGTTGGGTGCAGAGGCAGGCCTTGCTGGTATGCTTGGGGAGGGACCTTGTAAATCTGGTTTGTTGCATTAGGAGCGGCGGGACTGTGTCCCCGGCACCCGGCCGCCTGCATGGCTAGTTTATACCCAGAAATAATTACACGGAAACTGTATTCTTTCAAACACTGCCTGGCCCGGCTAGGTCCAGTTTCTTATTGGCTAGCTCTTACATATTGTTCTAACCCATTTCTAATATTCTGTGTAGCCCATGAGCTGGCTTACCAGAGAGGATCTTAACCTGCGTCTGTCTGGAGTGGGAGCATCATGGTGACTCTTTTACTTAGCTTCTTTTTCCCAGTATTCTCTTCTGTCTACTCCGCCTACCTAATTTTCTGTCCTATGAGGGCCGAGGCAGTTTCTTTATTATTAACCAATGAAATCAACAGATAAGATACAAGACCCACCTCCATCACTGGTTGGTTTCAGGGACTTCCTGAAGTTATTGAAGTCTGCTTCCTGAGCACTAGGAGCTTCCCTGCAGAGTGAGTTCCATCTCTCTTAGGTCATGCTTAGAACTCCAACATGGAAAAAATTTCTTGCACAATGAACCCTTCCCGAGGTAGCTTTCCGTCATGTCATGAGTCCCCCCTTCCTTTGGAAAGGGGTACCCAAATGGGCACTTCTCAGCTTCTATTGAGAAGCTATGGAGCGGCTTATATTGCTGTTGTAGCGATCATGTGTGACACTGGCTTCTGAACCCCGCTGGCCGTATCCCCTGGTTTCCGCCTTGCCCTTCATCAAGCCCGCACGTCTCATTTCATCGTCTGTAGCTGTCGATTGAGATTCCTGTCTTGCTTTCGCACATCTACAGGGTCCGCCTGGACACCAGAACGTACTCCTAAGACACGAATCTGCATAACTTCCCACTTAAAAATTCTCCAAGTGACTTCATGAAGTCCTTGGTGTGGCATTCAAAGCGCATCATGATCTGATTACCAGTCTCTCATGGACAGTCCCATCTCGGGTCTGTCCCATTCCAATGTTGTTCCATCTCTATATTCCCAGAAAGACATTTCCCTGCGGCCGGCTCCCGTTAGCACCTGCTGTCTCTTTCTCTATAGTCTGCCTCCATTCTCTTCCCCCCTCCTCCTCCCTCTCCTCCTCCTCCCATTCCCCCTTTTCCTTCTCCCCATTCTCATCCTCCTCTCCTCCCCATTCCTCCTCCTCCCCTCTTTCTCCTTATTCTCCCCCTTCCCCCTCTAGGGTCTGTTACCAGCTCAATCCAGGAAGCCAGAACACCCTCCCCCATGAGTGGGGTGGGTTCCCTGTCTCTTTCATTGACATTTTATTCCTCCAGTTGCTCAAATGTCTTGATATAGCACTTGCTGTGTGCCAGGCCCTAGGTGTGACATGGTACAAAGGAACATTCTACCTTCTCAAGGCTTGTCCACCTCCACTGGGGTTGATGGCTGTTGTGTCTCTACTGCAAGCTTCTTGGGAACATGTCCCTGTGGCGTTCCTTCATCCCCAGCATAGGAGGAGCTCACAGTGGTGCTTTCTAGAAGGGTCAGGACATGCATGCCAGACGATCATGGTTTCCTCGGCATTCCTTAGGCATGCCCAGTCTGCTACACCAGGCACCTGGTCATTGCAAAACAGGGACCTGGGGGACTAATGGGATGGTGCAGTTGGCAATGGCATGAGGAGCTGCTTTTAGATGCCCAGCACCCACATAGAAAGTTAGCCGTAGTGATAATTGCCTGTAACCCCAGCCCTGGATAGGTAGGGAGACAGATCCCTAGGACTCACAGGCCAGTCAGTTTATCCTAAGTGGTGAACTCCAGGCTCAGCAAGAGAACCTGCCTGACAAAATAATGAGGCTGAGTAAGGCAGACACCTGCCGTCAACTTCTGGCACACATGAACGCACACATACGCACACACATGTACATAAACAAACACTTTTTCACATGTGTATACCCACAGTCCCCTCCATCCCCCACATGAAATAAAAAGATAAATTAATTTAAAAGGTGAACATCTGGGCTGCTTTGGTGATGGGAGACCCCCAAACACTCTGACTGTTCCCCCAGCATCTCCTACGTCATTAAATCAACAACAACAAAAACAAAAAACAAAACGCTTAAACCCAGAAACCTGGTGACTTGGCTATAACTAGGCTGGGATATTTTGTGGGGGCATTTATGAGTTGAGGTGCAGAGTCTTTCTGCTCCTGGGCCCAGCTTCCCAGATAGAAGCGCCTGGGCTCGCAGGCTGAGCTCAGGTCAGACAGCCACCAGCCTTCTCTCCCGCAACTGTTCCCCTGACCTTGGGGAGAATCGCTTCCCAAATTACAGCCTCCGCTCCGGGAGTGTTAAACACAGCGCGGAGAACACATAAATTACATAAGGCCCTTCCCATTGCCGCTGGGTGCCTGAAATAATGTCACATTTCTCCAAACCAAAAGGTACACTGTATTATTAAAACAGGCTGGCATTAAAAAAAGAAGTGTAGCCACGGTGGCTGTCAGACTCCCAGATGCCAGAATAATAAACCCGGAGACAGGATTCATAAGGCGCGAGGGGAGTGAAGGGTGAAGCCGGTTTTGCAAGAGCGGTTTTAAAATGGGAGGAGGAGGAGGAGGAGGAGGAGGTGGAGGAGGAGGAGGAGGAGGAGGAGGAGGCTCATTTTCTCAGAATATTGTATATTCCCTGTAATCTTCACTACTGAAATGCGGCACACCGTGTCTCGTTTTCCTCCTGGTTAGAGGCACAGTGAGTTGCGCTTTCTGGGCTTGAGAGTCATTTTAAACTCTCCCATTGGCTCTTAGTCTGTGTGTCGTAATGTGTGTGTGTGTGTGTGTGTGTGTGTGTGTGTGTGTGTGTGTGTGTGTGTGTGAGATGTAGCCCAGGCTGGCCTCGTACTTGCTGTGCAGACAAGGATGACCTTGGATTCTTAGTCCTCCCGCCTCCACCTCCCGAGTGAAAAAGTCCCTCTCTGGCGCCCCACCTCCGTCTCCCCCTCCATGCCCTTCCTTCCTTTCATCTTGAATCCTATAAATAAAGCCACTTCCTCAGGTGAACTTTTAATTTATAAAGAATTAGTGATATCCCAGTCTGCCCTTGGGTCCTCAAGGCCATGTGGAAGCTCTTTTCGGGGAAAAATCTGTGTAGGCTTTGAGGCTGGGCCTTTCTCCACAGGAATTTGTTTGTGTTACAAAGTCTGGGGATATGGCGGTCTTCTCTTGCCATGTAAAATGTGGAGGGGGCGTCATTTTCGTTGCCAACAGTGGCCAGCTATAACTCTTCTGTGACTCTTCATACTTCAATGACTTTTGGTTCCTGGAGTCAAAGGTACAGCCTGTACTCATGTGTGTGTGTGTGTGGTGTGCGTTTGTGTGCACGTGTGTGTTTATACATGCACATGTATATGCAGGGGGCACCGTGGGAACTTAGAGCCCCCCCTCACCCTCTCTGCAGCTGCTAGCCGACCACCCTTTGTGGGTCAGCAATGATCATGCCTTGTCTATTCCTCAGCTCGATTATCAACTTGCCCGACCCAGATTTAGGGCCTGGTACTGCACACAGTGGGGCACACTCAGCACACACGGGACATAGTAACTGTTCCGAGGGCCAGGAAGACTCAGTTCTGCCCCTGACAGATGAGACCCTGTTGCTACCAAAAGTAGAAGCAGCAGGACTGTGGCCTTGATCCTGGACTCTGGAGACCCCAGGTACCCAACCCTTCTCTTCTATCTCAGCCAGCCCTGGCCTGGCTCCCCTTCTCACCTTGCCACAGTCCTCTGACATTGCGGTGGGGATTGCCAGAGTGGAGTATAAGACTAACAATCCCATAGGTGGGGATCCATGTCTGCGCAGGGTACAGTGGGGTGTGGCGGGGGCTTCAGGCCTGCAGCCTGTGTCCCGTGCTGTTCTGTGCAGTGGGTGATGGATGGTACTTCACACTGCAGTGAAGAAAACATGTCTCCATGGTGGAGGACAGGCTGCTAAATCATCTCCCACTCAGCTTGGATCAAAGAAACCAAAACAGCCTGGGTCTTTTTGTGGGCAGGGCATCACTGGGGCAGCTGTGGGATGGCGAAGATTCTTATTGAGGGGTCTGTTCCTAGATGGTTTTCCTGGGGAAATGCTACATGTAGAGTCTCTGGGATTGGAGCGGGAGAAAGCTATGCAGATATGAAGGGAGACGCACTCCACATGGCAGTGGGCACACAGTGTGGCATGGGCCTCAGGAGGGATAGTCTGGAGGGAGTGTGGCAGGAGAGGTTCCATATATCAAGGGTCCTATAGGCATTGGAAGATTCACCACCTGTGACGGCGTATGTAGCCACGCGAGAGGCGGGGCCTTTGCACTGTATTTGTCCTCTGGTCTCATTTGCTTAGTGCCTTGAGTCCTGGGAGCCTGGAGCTCCTACAGGCTGAGATTCGCCATGGTCACTGAAGCAGTGTTGGGTGTTTCTTCCAACTGACTGTCCTGGAGGGGTGTGGCTCAAGTGGGGGGTGCCATCTGACCAGTCCCACTAAAAGAGGGGCACGAGGTGTCTGTATGTGGCGGTTAGATGGAGGGGCCTGGAAATGAGGCTAGAAGGGGAAAGGGGAGAAGGTGGGGAGCAACTTGGTGGGAGATAAGCCACAAGGGGACTGGGCAATCAGAGGAAGTGGGCACCAGGATGCTGAGAGGGCAATAGCCCGGGCAGATGGCAGAAAGACTGAGCGAGGTGGTCCTAATTATGTGTCCTCCTGGAGACAGTCCGCTCCTCCCCGAGGCAGTCAGAGACTAAGCCCTCAGTGGAGGGGTGAGGGGGACTCTGATCCCCAGTGACACGCTCTTGGCTGCCGCCCCTTCTCTTTGGTTTAATGCCTGCATTTATTTTATATTAAGGGGAAGTGAGTACATCTGAGGCACGGTATTTATTTTTGTTTCTCATTTTTTTTTCTTTCCCTTCAGGTTGAAAAGCTACCTGGGAGAACCTAACCATCTCTTGTGATCCCGCTCTGTCTGGGTACTCCCCACCCCGTGGAAGCTTCTTCGGGTCCGTGGTGTCCCTACCGCCCTGTGACAGTAAAGGGGACAGCACTCCAACAGGTAAGGCCATGCTACTCACCTGCTCCTGCCTTGGCGGTGCTTGAGTTTGCGTGAAAAACACTTTAATACAGTCACTTCACCTTCCGGAAGGTGTGGGGTGGTGGCAGGGCATCCTGTCATTTGCAGTTCATTGTGTCTGCAGGATTCTGTGGGTTGGTTAAGTCAAGGAGAGTCAACGTTCCCCAGGAAGTGCAGGGTTGACTTTGCTCTCCACCATATGCATGGTTTGGGAAGGAGAGTCGTCAGACTGTGTGGTCTGCTGCCAGTTGTCATCATGAAATGTTCCAGGGGGCAAGGTCAGGGTCTGACCCTCCAATGTAATGCCTAGGTTGCCCTGAAGCGCCGTGAGCAGCTGCAAACCTCTGTCTTACTGGTGAGGGGGATGCAGTTTTTTGCCCCAGGGTGAGCAACAGGTCCCTTCTGACATGAGCCACCGGGGTCAGTGTCACACTTGCTGGCTTCAGACACAATCCACAACTTCACTTATTTTCCACGCTGGTACAGGGCCCAGGGACACCTGTGCATCCCCCAAACCCCACAGTGCTTCAGTTTTGATAGGCTCCGAGGCCTGTTTGTAGACCCCGAGAAAATGCTATATATATGATTTTAGTTTTATATAAATGGCACGCAGGGGTAAGAACCCTGGGTACCATGTAGCCATGCTTTCTCCCTGAGACGTTAAGGAGCCCCATCCTCCTGGTCCACCTGCATGTTCATCAGCTAGGAAATATCTCAAGCTGTGTGAAGGTCAGAGGTCAGCTTGCAGGCCAACGCCACCATATGGGTTCTGAGGAGGGAGCTCAGGTCAGAGCTTGGTTGGCAAGCGCCTTTGCCTAACGCACCATCTCTCTGCTTCCCAGTGATGGCCTTTGTGGTGCCCAGGTATAGTGGCAACCAGACATAGGCCAGTGGGTGGCTTTCTCAGAGCCCACTGCAAAAGTCTGTAGGAAAGAATTACGTATGTTATTGAGGGCTCTCCAGGGGCATGCTCACTGTCCCCTCATGGATGACCAAAGGTCCCTTCCCTGGGCGTTTTTCTTCCACCAGGCTCCCTGGTCCACAGACTGCTCTGTGTTTCTCACGCAGCAATGTAGCCTGCCCTTTGATCATGTGACAATGTATACACTGTGTATAAAAGGGATGAGCCCTCCGTAGACACTGTGCTCGGGCTTTTGAGTTTTGATCTTCTCCTGGGCTAGGGGCTGTGACAAGCTGACGGGGGACGGTTGCAATTCTGATCAACCGTGTTGTCACGAGGGGAAAGAGTGACAGTGGGTTGGGCGGACGTGAGGATACTTGTGAGGTCAGGCATGGTAAAGATGTCTTCACATTTCTCCCTGGGTAATAGTTTATCAGGGTGCATCCTGTTGTACATTGAGGTGTGCCTATGTACGAGAAGCTCTGATGAGCCCAGCCCTATTTCGGACTCTGGAGATATAGAAGAAAGTCCTCATCAGTTCACAATCTGGTGGGAGGTGGAGAGGAAGCAATGTCGGGGAACGAAAAGGCCCCGGGGGACAAAGGAAGTAGGCTGAGCTTACCAACAATGGGGGATGCAGGACAGGGTGGTGCGGTAAAGCAAGGGAGCGAGAACCTTCCAGACGGGGCACGTGGTGTCAGGGCCTGCGAGTAGGGATGAGCTGAAGCATCTAGAAGATGGGTACAATGGGCTGTGTGGCTGAGTGTGGAGTGGATGAAGCAGACATGAGATCCAGTGCCCTGGGCTGAGGCCAGGGGCCTTGAGGGTGGAGTGATGCTCTTCTGTCAAAATCCACAGCATCACTAAAGGGCTCTGAGTCAGGGAACGTCCCTGTGACTCAAATCTGACAATGTTGCCTTCTGCAGATTAGGTCAAAGTTGAAGCTGGGCTCAGCTGAGGGCTGCTATGGGGCTGCTATTGTTCTTGAGTAGCAATCTGGACTGGGGACTGTACCAGAGGTGGATGTCTGGCCAAATTTGGGCTGACTCTTGTGCCATGCTGACTGAGATGGCCCTGTGAGCCTGAGCCATGCTGAGAGGCCCTCGTCACTCCCTTGTCACTCTGAGATCATGGCTTGTGGCTCCCAAGAGCCCCAGAGGAGTTGTGTTTTGCAGATGGCCTCAGGCAAGCCCTAGGTCCTGGCACTGGATGCCGGAGCTCCTGACTCTACTCATGGGCAAGGACAGCTGGTCCAGCTTCACCTTCTGTGTCCCCAGCAAGGTACCTCTTTGGGGCCATTAGAGCCAAAAGCAGAAAGCCTAGCTGGTCTTCAGGATGGACCTGGGAGGTCCAGGGTACAAGTGCCTTTGCGTGGAACTATTTTGTGTAGCGCACTCACATTCTGACCCCCGTGTTTTTAGAAGGTAGCTATGCTGCACTAAGGTCCGGCTGTATATCTGAGAGTCTTGTCCTTCCGTGGGGTGAAGGCAAGGGGGGTGTAGACTCATGATGGTCCATCATCTGAGTGAGCACAGCACAGATGTATGTCCCAGTCACCTGTATGTGACCTTGATAGTCTGTCTTTTCATCAGCTCTGGGAGGACAGGAGGCAGGTCTCTGAAGGAGAAGGTCAGGCACATGGGTGAGTGGCCAGGCATGTCAGGCTGCCGACTCCTGCACACACACTTCCCGCACAACAGAATGATGCTGGGTGATGTTGAACACACCTCCGGGGCACGAAAAGCCCTTGCTCTGACTCCTTGGAGGAGAGCTTCTCCTAGAGTAGTTTGAGGTCAGAGATGAAGAACCCGGGCCAGAAGGGCCTGCTGGAGCTTGCGGCCTGTGCAGAGCTGGGTCACAGTTCCAGGAACGGCTTTGACACGCAGGCCACCTAGTGCGCTCTCCATCACTGTCGACATGTCCTTGCTCGAGGGAAGACGGGAGGAGCAGTGGTTTCCTGCTGCCTTTGACACTGCCCTGTGCATTTCTTGAACCCTGTAAGAGGGACCTTGTCATTATGTCTTATTTAAAAGCTTTCCCCTTTTAATATGTAGTCAATTCGGATCTTAATATGCAGCCAGTTCCATTAAAAACACGGGTGGACATTCATCAACAGAATGGGTGTTGTCGTGGCCAGGCTGTGGGCAGTGGTCCATCTGACTCGCTGGAAGGAGGCATCTGTCACCCACTGGCACAGGGGGCATTGCGTCGGTGCCGCCACCTTTCCCTGCCAGCCCTCCTCCTCTTTTACGTTGTCCCCATGCTCTGAGATCCTCCCAGCCACACTTCTGTACACTGTTGCTGTCACTTGGAGGAGCCAGGCTTGTGGCCAGCTGTTCTTTCTCCAGATGCTGCTAAGAGGCGAAAGTTGCTCACGTTCAGGTGCCAAGGGGTAAATCAAGTCTTCCATCTGTCTTCCGGGCCCCTCACAAAGGACGGTAGGCAACTGAGACTGGGGGCCCCAAAGGTTGGGGCGGTGCGTGCATGTTCTCGGTTGAGCTGCCGGCACCCTACAAGTGCTCAGCGTTGGAAGACATCCATCTCCGAGGCCCCCACCCTTGAGCTGCATCCCATGAGGACAACAGGCAACATCCCATAAATCATCTCCGAATGAGCGTGTTCCCTGCACTCATCCATCATGCCTGGCTCTCCTCTGCTTGTTTTTAAAAGCTGTTAAACCAGAATCCATCACAGGGGATGCCGACATCTTGGGCTCAGCTGAACATAGCCTGCCTGAATCTGTGTGGAAGACCCCCTCCACCACCACATCAGCACCAAGGTCTCTTGGTGTCGGTAGGAGGGTGATCGTGGCTTTACCCAGAGATAGACCTCCCTGTTGTCTGTCTGTCCAGAGCCTGCCCTGCTGCTTTGCAGGGCGGTGGTGCCCATCTGACCTACATGGGGCTTCCTGGGAGGGACTTCTGCACTTTCCTGGGCTCCCTCTAGTACCTGATAGTTTAATTAGGGGAAAGGCACCGTGGTTACTCGTCTGTTGATAAATGTGCTTGGAGAGGAAGTCTCAGTGGTGTGGAGCTCAACCCCTTCACTTCTCTGAATGTTTTTATCACTAGAATGAGCACCGCGGTTACACTGAGCTCGCCCCGGGGACCTAGACACCCGTGGTTGTGTTTCCCTCTCCACCCTGCCACCACCTCCTGACTGTCCCTCCCCCTCTTCTTCCTCCATCTCCGTCCACCTTCACCCCTCTCCTTTTCTGCCTTCTCTTTTCCTCTCTGCTCCTCTTTGTCTTCCCTTCCCTCCCTCCCTCAGCACCTCTATTGCAGGATTTTCTTCATTTTAAGTTTCTCTGTATCTTCTTTGCCAGCCCCGCTAGCCCAGCTCCATGCTTAGCCTCACTATTCTGCCCTTCTCTGTGGTCCATAGTCAGGTGACATCTGAGGGGCGTCAGAGGGGGTGAGAAGGCACCAGACGCTGTCTTCTCCAGGAGAGCGTATGGCTGGAATCTTCTAGGCTTTGGGATGCTCCCCAAGTGACTGGTGTTGGGTCTGCTCCAGTAGCTGCCTGCCGGTCCCTGGTCCCTAGACAGATGTCACAGGCCTTGGTGGCATTTGTAATATCTTCTCCCATCTGCCTTTAGCATCTCCTTTGTCCTTTCCTTTGCCTTGTATTTGTTGGTTCAAGGACAAAACTACTCACTGGTGTGGGTGTGACCCCTTTTAAAAAGTAGGAAACCAAGTCAATATGCTTCCCTCAATGTCCTTTGAGCTCTGCGGTGGAGCTAGAAAGGGGCCGGAAGGGTCACAGAAGATGCCAGGGAGTTTCCTGGGTCTCGACTCCTGGTGAAGCCGTCCAATTAGAGCGCATTAGTCGTCAGGGTAATTAGCATTAATAACTATTAATCTGCTCCAGGTGCTGCTCCCACCCGGGAGTGGAGGCCTCTGTCCCTGGGCTGCCTTCTGAGGAGGGGGACAGGGTGACAGCAAACCTCCGGGGCTCAGGGGGGGCTGTCACAAAAGGGAGATGGGCTGGTTGTGTTCAGGCTGCATCTTACTGTCTGTCCTGTGGCTGCTGCAGCAGAAAATCCCAACCTGGGCGGTTTAAAATAAGAACTCTGTATTCT